GGGTGTCGTTCCATTAGAGGTTTTACGGTATCTTAATATCAGCAACATTTTATCAGTTAACATTTTTTTGACATCTCTCATAGAAACCGAGATAATTGATCTCAAAGTTTAAGTTTGATGTCTTGCATAGGAGCTGAGCTCAAAGATGACAGTGTTGGGGCGCTCCTATTACAGGTTCTACAGTATCTTGCCCAACTAACCTTAAATCTCGGCGGGTCCACCATTTCCTTTTTGAGACAGATGTACATCAGAGGTGCCAATCCATAATCGATATGAATCTTTGAATGGAAATAAGTCAAATCTTCATATAACCAGAAGACATTGTCCTCGTCCTCCAATAATTCATGTCTCATCCATAGCCATTTTCCTGTCGCCTTCTTCATCTCGTTTGTCAATTCTGGATCATTCTTCATCACTTTTAGAAAAGCATCTCGAAGATTCGCTGTATCCATGGCTTCTCTGTTGTCTTTGGCGAACTTTCTAGGGTTGAATTGTTCGTAGACGGCACTGGCATTCCAGCCAACATAGGAGCACATCAGATTGCCCATTTTACTCTGAAAAAAGTCTAGTTTTGAGTCGAATTGGATTTTGAAGAATTTAGGCTATTCCAAAAGTTAAAAACAAATTCAATTTTTGGAGAAAAAGTTAGTTGTGACTTTATGGGATTTTCATTTTTCTGAAAACCTGAAAAATTCTGTTCAAAATCCATTAAAAATCAAGGTTCTACGACAGTTTTGAGCATAGTTACAGCTATTTGAAATTTCAAGGGGTGAGAGACGCAGAGAAACGAGAGTCTCTGCGTCTCGAACAGCAGAAAGTTCAAATGACCATAACTCGGCTCATAACTGTCGTAGAAAGCTGGTATTTAGCTAGTTTTAAGAGAAATGTTGTGTGGTATTTTACGAAATTTTTTTTAAAGTAAATGTTTCATAAGAACCAAGATGAAAAGTGATCAAACTTACTAGTTAATTATGTCTACAGAGACACTTCTAATAGTGGACCGCTTACCATTTTCTTTGAACCCTCTCATCTCAGTTACTGTACAAGGTATCAAATAAGGATCAACTGATAAAATATTTGTGATAAAATGATAAATGTTTTATCAATTGACCACTTTTTGAGAGCTTTGACAGAAATCGAAATAAGTCGGGCCAAAGTGAGTGGCTCTTCTAAAACAGGAACGCTTTTCACTATTTTTAAGTCA